TTCCTCAATAATTAAGTCAGAGCTTCTCAACAAAAATTTGAACTAGATAGAAGCTGTCAAAGGAACTACTTCTAGATGTTCCTATAGATGATATTCTTTAATTGGACCAGTGTGGTCCTTTATTAGATGAAGATGTTGCAATGTTTTCATCTGGTTCATCCACTGAAATACTTTCATACTGGAAACCTATCTATTTCTCTTTTATTAACACATCAAAAGCCTTCAACCTTTATCTTTGACTATGTTCTGCAATGAAACAGAAGGGTTTAATTTTCTTGAATTAATATGCTGGCTTCTTTAAATGGCATTGGACTTGAATTTGCAAAATCCTTGCCCCAATTATGCTGGCTAGTTTTTGGGAGATAAAATCCAAGAAAACAGATTGAAATCAGAACAGAACTTGGAAGCCCAACACTCAACCTGCCATATATGCTACAGACGTTTATAAGACAACCATAAATGAGAAAACCATGAGTTATGCATCTCCACTGTTTGGCTACCAGGCATACTGAATTTAGCCACCAATTGTGGGCCCCAATCACTTCTACAATATTTTTTCATTTGGTTGCTGAATCACAAGCCAAGGAAAATCATAAGCTGATTACAACCTGTGTATGAAGCACTTCTTACTTATGCCTGCCTTAATAAAAAAAACACAAGTTGATTCCTTTAGATGGCCATGTTAGTAAAACATTTTTACACCCTTCACACTGTTCAGTTTTACATGCCTCTACATATCTGACAGATTTCATTGCATCTTTTCAGGATTACCCATCGTGTAATCAAAAATTCCTCCAGTTTAAATTTTACTTTTGAAAGTAAATTTTACTCCATTCTCACTATACTTTATTGCCCATTTTTGCACTCTTTTCCTGAATTTGCTCTTTTTGAAGGAGAGAAAATGAAAACTATATCCTAAATAAATCAGAAAGCACCTAAATTTATGAAATAAGAGCATGAAGCGGAACACAGCCAGTGTGCTGGGGTATCCCCTCCCTCCTCCATAATGAGGTTATTACTCTTCTGCTATACACAATTTTTAACAAAGCACTGGTTAATCTCAAAGAGTTTATATTTCTTGCCTTGATGGTAACCATTTCCCCAAAGAGTCATTCGGTTAATCCTTTTTGAAAACAAAGAGACTTGAGGCACGTTAAGATTGACAAACCTGATACAATTTATCTCCACACATGAACACAAAACAGCGAGTATAGCTCATTGAGTTGGAGTGTATGGCTGTAGAGGCTGCGAGAGTGTATCCCCACTGCAACTTTTGGGAAAGGGACAAGCCAAGATCCCTTGGAGTGTCTGTGACCAATGGGATTTATCCACCGGTCACATATGTGTGGTCTTGGGCAAGCAGCACAATCCCAGAGCTCCACTCAAAGGAGGGACTGATGAAATATTCCCAGGTACCTTATAACTAGAAAGCCACAGAAGGAAAGAGAGAGTAGGTGTCAAGGGGCAATTTTCATAATGGAGAGCGGTGAAGAGCGGTGTGTCCCAGGGATCTGTCCTGGGACCGGTGCCTTTCAACTGGTTCATCAATGACCTGGAGACAGGGTGTGATAAGCAGGACGAGAGCATAGAGGCTCTCGTCGGAGTGCCGTCCCCAAGTAAGACATCTAAAGAGGTGCAGACCACTCCGCCACCAACCCCTCCAAGAAAGATACACCAGGGAATAGACACATGGGAGCTGGAAATAAGTCTACGGGGTCTGACGGTGGCAACACAAATGGAGCAGGAATTGACGGGAAGGGAGGAACAGGTGAGGTCTGTAGCAGAGGTGGGAATTGGGATTATAAATAGGGAACATGACAACATACCAGGGGGTTGGGAACTCATCTGGGTTGAGGACCCTTGGACCGGGAAATAGGAAAAGATAAAGGTGCCAAGGGAAGAGGCAGAGTACCACTGTAGGAGGGGACACCCCCCCCAGCGTCCTTCTTACTGGGGTGAGTCGGAGGCAAGAGAGTTGAAAAGACAGCTGAGAGAGGAGAAAGAAGCAGTGGCCCAGGAAGCTGAAGAACGTTGGGCATGGCGTGCAGAGGAGTCATGGAGAATGATGTACCTCCGGGACCATGGGGACAACTTTCGGGAGAAGGAGACCCGGTATGGAGAGAGGACGGGGATGAAGGAACTATTGAGAGATGAAGGGATTTTCAGGAGAAGGAGACCCGGTATGGAGAGAGGACGGGGATGAAGGAACCTTACCACTATTGAGAGATGAAGGGACAGAAGCTGATGTTCCCAGTTATGATCCGTTTGTTCCAGGACCCTGAGAGGTTAAATCCCTAAACCCTTTTGATTCCGAACTTTGGTTGCCCTTGCGAGCCCCGTTGGATCCGCAAGAGAAGTTACAGAATGACTCACTAAGAGAAGTTTTTCCGTTGACTAAAGAAATAAAAGGAACGTGGTGGTGCTAAAAGGGACGTGGTGGCGCTGCGGGCTAAACTGCAGAAGCCTGTGCTGCAGGGTCAGAAGACCAAGCAGTCGTAAGATTGAATCCACGCGACGGAGTGAGCTCCCATCGCTTATCCCAGCTCCTGCCAACCTAGCAGTTCGAAAGCATATAAAAATGCAAGTGGATAAATTGGTACCACCTCGGTGGGAAGGTAACGGCCTTCCGTGTCTAAGTCACACTGGCCATGTGACCACGGAAGATTGTCTTCGGACAAAACGCTGGCTCTATGGCTTGGAAACGGGGATGAGCACCATCCCCTAGAGTCGAACACAACTGGACAAAAATTGTCAAGGGGAAACTTTACCTTTACCTTAAAGAAATAAACACCAGTTTGGATTTTGGTTTAAAAACGACTCCTGTTTCATTTGAGCAAAAGTTGGAGGCGAATAGCAAAGCCTCACACAGGGATAAGCAGCGAGGTCGCCAAGTTTGCAGATGACACAATTTTTTTCTGGCTGGTGAAGACCAGAAGGGATTGTGAAGAGCTCCAGAAGGATCTCTCCAAATTGCAAGAATGGGTGGTAAAAAGGCAAATGCGTTTCAGTATAAGAAAATGTAAAGTAATGCACACTGGGGCGAAATATCAAAACTTTAGTTATCAGCTGATGGGTTCTAAGCTGTCTGTGACGGATCAGGAAAGAGATCTTGGTGTGCTGGTAAAGAGCTTGATGAAAGTGTCAACCCAGTGTGCAGCGGCAATGAAGACCAATTCCATGCTAAATAAAACAGCCAATACACTATTATAATGCCATTGTACAAAAGCCTGGTAAGGCCTTACCTGGAGTACTGCATCGAGTTCTAGTCACTGTACCTCAAAAAAGACATTGTGGAACTGGAAAAGGTGCATTAGAGAACGACTAAAATGATGACTGTGCTGGGGCACCTCCCTCATGAGGAAAGGTTGCACTCATTTGGGGCTCTTTAGTCTAGAGAAAAGGTGCCTGAGGGGACATGATTGAAACATATATAATTATGCAGGGGCTGGATAAAGTGTTTAGAGGGAAACTCTTTTCCCTCTCATGTAATACTAGATCCAGGGACATCCACTCAAACTGAGAGTTGGGAGAGTGAGGACAAAAGAAAATATTTCTTCACCAGTGTGTTGTTAGTCTGTGGAACTCCTTGACACAGGGGGTGGTGATGGAATCTGCCCTAGATGCCTTTAAAAGGGGATTGGGCAGATTCCTGGAGGAAAAGTCCATCACAAATTACAAGCCATGATGGGGATGTATCATCTCCTGGCTTAGACGGAAGGTACCTCACAATGCCAGATGCAGGGAAGAGGTATCAAGAGAACGGTCTCTAGTTGTCTCGTGTGCTCCCAGAGGCTTCTGGTGGGGCCACTGTGAGATACAGGAAGCTAGACTAGATGGGCCCTTGGCCTGATCCAGCAGGGCTCTTATGTTTGCCATAAGTGCGAACTGACGAGGTAATGTACACATTTTAAATTAACTGACTCATATGTTGAGACATGCTTGGCCATAATAAATTTCCTAGTCTTCAGAGTTCCACAAGACCAAAGCCCTGCCACCATCAGTAAACGTGAAAGAGCTGCCTCAGACCTCAGATAGCCTACTCTCAGCTCAACCAGCTTTTAGTCATCTTGGCTAGTTAGGACTGCACTCCTAACTGGCTTTGGCTACTGACTATGTGTCTTGATCGGGATGGGAGTGTCATTCCACCCCAGGCAGCAATATATCTCAGGCTGGCCCTGCCAACCACCTTTCCTTGCTTCTTGAGATGATGAAGCTCACTTTGGCAATACCAGGCATCTCTTTGCCATACTTTATGAGCGCATAACTTTGGCTGAGAGAAATGTCAAAGACAGCATGGTTATACTCCTGTACAGACTGCCTAACATTCCTCAGAGCATTTTAATTGATAGATTGAATACACACCTGGCTGAATACACCTAGAGTCGCAAAAACCCTGTAAACTTACCTGAAAGTAAGATACATTTCTGAATAAACAGGGTTTACAGCTCAATTGAAAGAGGTCATAACAAGGATGAATAAAAAAACGACACACACACACAAATAAACACGGTTTTCGTCTCACTGAGAACTACTGGCACCAACCGAAAGAGGTTACACACGGATTTAAGAAACGATCAATGAACAGGTCGCGGAGGCGGGATTGGGAGTCACATGCCAGAGAACAAAACTTCAAGTACTGTACAATATTTTTGAAGAGGCCAACAAAAAACCGCGCCACAGAATACTGGAAGCTTTTTAACCCCGTGTCGCTCCTACAGTATATGGTTAGTCAGCCCTCAGAAAAGCTGAGGAATCACTTCAGGACCCATGAGCCGGTTTTGCAACCGGCAAAGAAACACGCGCCACCACGCGCTGAAGACGAAACGGGCGCGGG